GTAGAATTTTCACGTGTGCTTATCCACTCCCTTGCGAGGACCTCTTGAGGCCGCCCTACGGCATGCGGGCCTCCTGCGCAGTCTGGAGGTTATTTTGGGACGCCTTGGGCCCTTCTTGGGGCCATCGTGGCCGTCAGGGCAACAACTTGTAAACAATGTGTTGCCATTTTGGGCCGTCAGTGGCAATGCCGGGGGCCGTTTTGCGCCATTCTGGCTGCTTTGGAGGCGTACTTTTTGTTCATTGAAATCTTTCGAAAGTGCCAGCACCACGGTCCGAAGGTGGGAGTTCCTCTTCTGTAGAGCTCACCATTATTTTATACTTCGGCACGCCAAACACACTTTGATTGAGACGTCTTGGGGCCCTCTGGGAAGCATCGTGGGCCATCATGGGGCATCTTCGAGAGCGTCCAGTAGCGCCCAGGAGACTTCCGGCCATCCGGGCAATTGGGCGCCGCGGCGCGAGCAGCCTTACCCGGCCGCCCGTGCACCGGGGACTCTTGCCTGCCGGCAGGCGGCCCAGCGCCCGGCCACTGGAGGCACCTAGGCGACCAGGGCACCCAGGCATCCACACACCCGCGGACCTTGCACGCACCGGGACGCTGGGGCACCCAGGCGAACACCTATGTGCACGCGGACGCATGCGGACACCCAGGCACCCAGGCGCCCAGACACCTGGCAGCCCCTGGGCACTTTGACTGCCAGGCACAGGGGCTCCATGGATGCCCAAAACGCACCAGGGCACCCAGGCACCCCGGCACCCGGGCACCTTGCCGCCAGGTGAAGAATCTTGAGCCCCCCCGTCCGCGCACATATCGGATACCCCTAGCATTGGCGCCTGCACGCGTGAGAGCAAACAGTCCAGTTTTACGCACGCGAGTTCGAATCTTCCTCCGCACAGGTATATTCTCGTGTGAAGGATCCTGCACCATCATGTTGGATACCTGGAAGCTCGTGCCAAATGCACGCGTGGCAGACGAAAGTTCGAAGGTCGAGACTCTGTCCCGTGCACGTATTGTTACGTGTGAAGAATCCGGCGACCCCCGTTGTGTACCTACCACCTTGTCGCGTACACGCGCCCCCATGTTAGATACCCGCCGTTAGTGCCTACACGTGTTCAGACATGCCAAATGTACGCTTGCCGTGCGCATCTTCCACCGCCCCTCACCGCGCACGTATTTTCGATGTTTTAGCTGTGATGCATCTGGCGCTCCGGTGTTTGATACCCCGCTTGGCGCGAGCTAGCGGCATGCTCGACCCTCCTTCCAGGCACGTATTGTGCTGGCCTTTGGCCAGTGCCGCCGATCCGGAGCGTTCCGGATACTGCTGATGATGATGATGATGATGATGATGATGATGATGACGATGACGATGACGATGACGATGATGATAATGATGATGACGATGATCATCATGATGATGATGATCATGATGTTGATCATGATGATGATCATGATGATGATCATGATGATGATCAGGATGATGACGGTCATGATGATGATCATGATGATCATGCTGATCATGCTGATCATGATGATCATGATGATCATGATGATCATGATGATCATGATGATCATGATGATGATGATGACGATAATGATGATGATAATGATCATGATGATCATGATGATCATGATGATCATGATGATGTTGATGATGATGATGATGATGCTGCTGCTGATGATGATGACGATGACGATGACGATGACGATGACGATGACGATGACGATGATGATGATGATGATGATGATGATGATGATGATGATGATGATGTTGCTGCTGCTGATGATGATGATGATGACAATGATGATGATGATGATGATGATGATGATGATGATGATGATGATGATGATGATGATGATGATGATACTGATACTGATGATGATGATGATGATGATGCTGATGATGATGATGATGATGATGATGATGATGATGATGATGATGATGATGATGATGATGATGACAATGATGATTATGTTGTTTATCATGGCAATGGCCATGGGGCCATCTTGGGCGTCTTGGACCGATTGTTCGGTGATTCGGGACTTTTGGGGCCGTCTTGAGGGCCTCTTGGGGCCCTGTTGGCCTATCTTTGGCCTCTCTTGGAGTCTGGGCCCATTAACAATCCTCAGGCTTGAGGACTGAGGCTCAGGGGATTGAGCAATGGGGTCGTTTTGTAGCCTCTTGGGGCCTCTGTAGGGCCTCTTGGGGGCCTTCTGGGGCCTCCTGAGGGCTTCTTGGGGGCCTATGGGCCCCCCCGCCCCCGAGCACTAAATGCGTCGGGAATGGCGTCTCCCTCTCCCCCCCTTCCAGAGCCTCCTGGGGGCTCCTTGGGGGCCTGTAGGCCCATCCGCCCCCGAGCACTAGATGCGTCGGGAATGGCGTCCCCACCCCCCTGCAGAGCGAAGCTTGAGCGAGCTCAAGCCCACGCTCTCAGAAACTCACACGCCGGATCGGCAGACGTTTACGCGTGAAGGTCCAGCGCCTCCAGATACCTCCTTGCGCACCTACGCTCGTGAAAACACGTGCCAACAGTATGCGGTCAAGGCGCATGTTCGATACCCCCCTCCGCGCGCGCATTTTCACATCTGAAGAATTCAGCGGCCCCGTGTTGGATACCCTACCGTTTCGCCTACACGCGTGAAGACACGTGCTCAGTGCTGCATGAGTGCCAGACGTTTGGTCGACATCCCTCTTCCGCGCACATATTTTCACTTGTGAAGATTCCGGCGCCCTCATGTGGGATATCTCCCACCTCCGTAGGCGACAGAAGGCTCAAGCGCGCTTGGAGTTCAAGCAATTGCTGATCACGTTTTTTTCCTGCGGCGTGCCTACGGCTTGTTGTGACGCGACATGTCGTCCAGGTGCGAGCGCCGATCGGAGTGCACAGTCCACAAGCTTGACGGAACTTGCCAGGCGGAGTCTACGGCAGCGCTATCGACCTTCGCGGACGCGCAGTCCGAGAGGGTCACTTTCGCGGACACGTGCTGGGGCAGGTCCTTCCCGGGCCCGCAGTGGCGGCGGCCCTCCGGCGAGGAGCACGACAGCGACGACGACGCCGAAGACCAGAGCGCCCTCCCGCTGCAGCATCGACCCATCCCCGGCACGGGCGACGAGGGCGAGCCGAAGGCCGAGGCCACGCGAGCCCCCTGGCCGACGGGCGGCTGCGGCCGTGCGCCCGCCGCCGGGCCAGTCCGGGGCGTGCTCGGCGCGCGCCCCCGCGGGGTCGCCCCGGAGGCAGCGCCGCGGCGCCCGTGGGGGATCCGCACGGCCGCGGCGCAGCGGGGGCCGCCCGCGCTCCCGGTGCCCGGGCGCGGTGCCGAGCGCCTCCCGGCGCCGCCTCTGATGCCCGCAGCGGCGCCCGGCGCCGCCTCGGATGCCCGCAGCGGGGGCTGCTTGCGCCGTTCGCGCGCGTGCTAGTTTTCGGGCGTCTGAGAAAGAGGTTGGGGCGGGTCAGAGTCGAGAGCTTGCGTCGAGAGGGAAGGGTGGCAGGGTCAGATTTCCAGGCCGCGAGCTCGGCTTTGGAATGGGCCCGTCCGTTGACTCCCTGAGCAGAGCCCGAAGTCAGAGCCTGCGGGCGCGACTCAACTTTGTGTTTTTGTTTCAAGCAGCCGTGTGTTTCAGGCGGCTTCCAAGGACAACGGGGCCTGGGGCGGAGCCTCGGGCCTTGGAGGGGCATGAGTTCATGCTCCCTTACTTGCGCCATTTCACTTTTTGCTCACCTGAGCCTCTTCTAAGAAGAAGGGTTCAGCCCTTGAAGTTCGAGGGGATATTTGATTCCCCATTAAGCTCAGGGTCAAAGTCGAGAGCTCGCGCCTAGGTGAGAAACCGTCATCATGGCCCATCATGGAGACTTGTATCGGCTTTGGAATTGGCCCGTCGTGTTATTACCTCTTCAGAGAGCCGAGGTTCAAGGTCTGAGGGCTCGACTTCGAAAGTCAAGTCCGATTTTTCGGCCGCCAGAGCGCTTGGGATTTGTTCGCGGCCTCCAGGGCCTCAGTGGGACTCATGGAATCGCGTTGTCGATCGCAGATAATGTCGGGTTCGCATTGTCCCATGCGGGGTGCAGTTTGAGGATGCGATCAGACACGGGCAACTGCACGCATGGAACAAAGCGCGCATGGCAGGCGATAGCGCGCCGCATCAGTGTAGGTTTCACATGTTTTATGCACACGTGGTAAGCTTGCCTATCCAGCGTCTCTCTGGCCCAACCTGGACCGCCTGAGGAGATCCTTCTCTCAAGTGCGAAGTAACATGGGCGTCGCATTGGCATCGCCAGTCGGAGCCACGCGCTGGCACCCGCCATGTTGGCTGAGGGGGGAGGTATGTAAGACATCGGAGGTGGTAACCTATGAGGGCTCAGCAAGCATTCGAGAAGACAGTGGCAACGAACACTTCGGCGCGCACGGACCGCGCGCGCACTGCTCGCGCGGAGCGCGTCAGTCCCGCAGACTTCGACAGACTCGCAGGAAGCCTGAAACCCTTTTCAATTGCCAAGTGACATGGGAGCGACATTGGCATCGCCAGTCGGAGCCACATGTGTGAATTCGCACCCGCCATACTCAGCCATGGGGAGGGGGAGGGGGAGGGAGGAGATGATGACGGATGGCAGACGATCTAGTAGCATGTGCGAAGCCAGAAGTTGAGAGGATGTGCAAAGCCACGCGCTATCAAGGTTTGAGTTGCCAGTCACGTTTTTCAGAGTACGAGGCTGGTGGTCATGAGAATTCGAGCTGAAGCTTCGAAGGTTTTGGCACGTGCACTCCTGTTCGCTAGTGGAGCAGCAGCAGCAGCAGCAGCAGCAGCGGCTCGCTAAGTAGGCGCATACATTGCACCTATGCTCCGGAAAAGAAAGAGTGGGCTCCCTCCCACCAGTGGTGGTGGCCCACAGGCACCAGTGGTGGGCTCCCTCCCACCAGTGGGCTAGTTGCCCACTGGTGGGCTCCCTCCCACCAGTGGGCAATCATCCCACAAAAGCCGCACTGTGCCACCAAGAGGCCCCATAGGCATTCGAGAGGTCCTCCTGAACGCCCCTGGAAGTTTTCCGCTTCCCGCGCGTTTCGGTCCGAGATGGCTCTAGCGGGTCCGCGGGGGATCTGCGCTTTCTCAACGGCCTGCTGCCAGGACATGCACCCAGCATGGGTCAACTGGACCAGTTCTCAGATGCGCCTCACGAGTTCGCGTTCCTGCCTCCCGGCTGAGATCGCGTATCTGCCAATTCGTGAGTCCGGCATTTGCTACCTGCCCGGTGAGGTTGCGTACCTGCCCGTGCCGCGCAAGGACTCCGACCTCCGACGCCTTGGTTTGTCGGCGTCAGAATCCCAGACCTCTTCTCCCAGAGGTAGGCCTGTCATCCTGCGCGCCGTCTTTTGCCTTGGCATCGCTCGGACGTGTGCACGTTTTCTCGGCCAGGCCGATCGAAGAGGATCTCGGGTCATCTCGCGAAAAAAAAACACGCGCGAAATCGGCAAATGCACGTGGAAGTGACGTCCGAGCGATGGCAAGTTGCCAGTCCCCCCCCGGAACAGGGCCTCCAGAGGCCGAGCGCCGAAGCGCCGAATGGACGGGTCGATGATCCGCGGGACGCGTGCTGGCCCCACGTGTGTGTTGCACTGCTCAGCGCCGCCTGTAGCACGTAGCCTCGTGCTGGCTCTCGTCTGCACCGCCTGCGTCGTGCTGAAGGGCTTCGCTGCACGAGCACACGCTGGCGCCAACACACGCTCTGAGGGCCACCGAGCGGTGCCAGCCGGCATCGAGCAGGCCGCGGCGTCGGAGGCCCTTCGGCTCAGGAGTGCCCCGGCGCGGACCACCACGAGGCGGCCGAGGCGGCGAGGCGTGGGAGCCCACCGGGTACCGCACGCTGCCCGCCCGCGGGCAGCTTCAGCAGCGCCGAGGCGGTGGCGGGGGCGGTGGCGATCGCGAAGTGCTCGCGTCGCGGCTACGGCGGCCACGACGGCCAGGACGCCGAGGTGGGCTCCATCGGGGGGGCGGGCGGCAGTCAGGGCATCGGGACGGGCTCCCCCGCGGAGGCGCACGGCAGTCAGGTCACAGGGACATGCAGCGTCGCGGGTGCGGAGGCGAGAGCCTCGGCGCTGATCAAGAATTTGCCCAGCAGGTGCAGCGAGGAAGACGTGGCCGACGCGATCGACAGGCTCGGCTTCCGCGCCGACGTCGCCGAGCTCAGCATGCCAACTCGCGTCGGGAAGGGCAACCGGCTGCTGAACAGAGGCTTCGCCTTCGTCACGTTCTCCAGCGTGGAGGTGTGCAGACAGTTCGCCCAGGCTGCCCAGGGGCACCGGGGCTTCGGGAAGCGCCTCAGCTGCCGCGCCATCTCCGTCGTCTTCCCCCTGATGGTTGGCGGCGCCTCTCGAGAGGAGAGCCCCAGAAGTGCCGGGTCGCAGCTCTGAGCGCGGCTGGGGGGTTGGGCGAGGGGGAGGGGGCGCTTGGACAGCTCCCAGGAAGCGCTTCCCTCGCGCGTGCTCGGCTGCCTGGCAGCGCTTCCTCGGCTCGTTTGTTGAGGGGCACGGCCCAGGGGGCGAGATCGCCGATGTGCCCGGCCCCAGGGATGGGGCCCTGGCGGCGCGACATGAGCAGTTCGTCAGATTTCCCAGGAGCTCCTCGGAAAAGCTGGAGGGTATACAGTCGGGCTTGATTCGCAGGTCGATCCTGCCAAGTCAAGGGTATCCTCGTGTCCTGTGTTTACCACCAACCAGGCCGCCCCAACCCAACCCGAGGCCCCCAATTTGCCCTCCATCCCCAGTGGGGGGGTCGTCAGGGAACACTGAAAAACACAGGTGGAACCCGTACCCCCCTCTCCAACCCGAAATTTGGGTCTTCGGGTTAGGTTGGGGTGGTCTGGTAGGTAGTCATTTGTTTCGCGACCCCTGCCTTCTGCACTCCTGAGGCGCTGCGGCCCTCGGAAGGTTCCCGTGTCCTCTGGCGTGTCCTCTCCAGTCAGGCCTGGCGGTGCAGAGGGCGATGACGATGCCGATGTCGATGACGATGATGACAATGACGATGACGATGACGATGACGATGATCGTCATTGTCATCGCAGAGGGTGACGAGGGGCAGGGCGGCTGCCGACGGGTCGTCGGCCACCATGTGGGCGGCAAGGAAAAATACGGGTCGTCTGCGCCGACATTGGCGCGTAAGCTGCCCGCGCAAGGTCGCGCGTAAGAGCGCCCTCGTCTCCATTGTGGCGCTCCGCGCGGGCGGCCCGCGCAAGCGGCCGCGCGAGGTCGCCGCGTCATCTCGCGCAAGATCCGTCTTTATCGTCGCTCATGTGGGATCGGCGGCTGGCTGCAGACGGGCCTGTGGTCCCTGCGGCGGAAGCGCGCGTTGATATCAGGGGCAACGTCGGGGGGGATGATCAGGCACAGGGGGGAGATGCATTGACCCCCAGTCGCCCACTCATCGTCGATGGCAGCCCGCCCAGTCCATGAGCGAGCGGATTTGCTATCCAGGGCCTATCGCCGATCTAATCTGCTACATGCCTCGCCGACTCTATCTCAATGTTTTGTTCTCCCCCCCCTCAGCCAGTCCACGCCCTGCCGTTGCCCCCTCATGATCGGGGCGATGCCCTCGGGCAGGCCGTGCTCCTTTCAGCTTTCTCTTCGCTTCTCGCGGCGCCAGGGGCAGCGGGTTCATGGATCTGGCTGGGGCCAGACATCATGCGTCCCTGGCGCTGCCAGCATTGCCCAGGTGGCCTGTACTGATAAAAGTCAGAGCGTCTATGCTTGGCCGCCTCTAGCCATGCGATTGACGTCCCAGTCGGCGGCGTTGTGTTGGGGGCGGGAGGGTGGGGGCGGGCGATCCGTGACGGATGCCAGATCACATCCCGCAGAACCAGCAGGCATCCCGTGCTTGCTCTCCACTTGTATAGTTTTAAGACTCGCAGTGTCGCTGGGGGCTCATCGACTTCGGCACCACTTTGCTCTGGACAGGCCGTCGTCACAGTGGTCGGGGGCGGCCAAGATGGGGGCGATGACTACGGGGGGGGGGCATTTCATGGCCAGGTCCATGAAACTTCTGTATGGCTACCCTTCCTCACTTCAATACGTCCCCTGGCCCCCCCCCACGTCCGCGCACATGCCTCGGGCCATGATTTCCAAACCTCCATCTCGGACGCTCGCCCCTTGAAGTCCCCGAAGTGGGTCGGGGGCAGGGCTCCCACGGCTGTGGCCTGTGGCTGTGGCGGTGTCCTTCCCCCCCTCACCCCCCTCTCTCTCTCGAGTGGTTGCGCGCAGGCCGCCTCGGCTCCCGTGCAGGCTCCGTGGGAGAGGATGGCGTGCAGGCGGATTGGCCGCGCGGGCCCACCTGCCGCTCGGGGCGAGAAGTTCGTCGGTGACCTGTCGCGGATATTGTTTGTCTGATTCGTCGCAGGGTTGCGATGCAAACGGGTGATTCGTCGCAGGGCTGCGATGCAAGCGAGCTCAGCTGCTGCACAATTTTTTTACCAGCGCTGCGGCGAGACGAAGGAGAAAGGCGAGGGGGGGCAGGGGGAATGCAGCGGGCGCCCAGCAGCGCCCGCACAGCCAGCGGCACACCCGATAAGCCGGGGGCCTGTGGCGCCCCGGGGCGCGCGAACAGCCGCGCGCGCAGCGCGGCCCCCCAGTCGATCTCGGCGCCGCGCGGCGCCGCGCGCGCGGCAGCTGCGCCGCGCGGAGTCCCGCCGCGCGCGCAGCAGGAGGCTTGCCGCGCGCGGCGGCGCGCCGCCGCCCAGCTGGCCAGCCCCCTTGGCCGCTGGCCAGCCCCCTTCGACGCGAAGGCAGTTCACCCAGCCAGGCTCCTGGGACTCGACGTGCGCCCGCCACGCCTGGCCTGCGCACAGCGCCCGGACCGCCGCCGCTGGCTCGGGCGGCGCAGATGGCAGAGCGGCTGCAGCAGCGCCGGGTCCGCGGCCGCCGGCGCGCCCTCTCTACCCTGCGTTCGCCGCAGGCCTCGCTGCGCTGTCCGGCGTGGTCTGCCTGGGCAGCGCGCTCCGCGGAGCCGCCCTGCGCCGCCGAGTTCGCGGGCCTGCCCGGCCGGGCGGCGCGTTGTTGGCCTTGAGCGCTACTGGCTCCACGGAAGCCAAGACCCTTTGGACTGAGGGAGGCCAGCGCGTCGATCTGACGCTTGCGCTCCCGGCGCAGCGCGGGCGCTGACAGCCGAACCTCCACAGCAAACCCCGCCAGGCGGTCCGCCGCCGCGTTGCCTGCCCGCGCGGTCCTCCGAGAGCCCGCGTTCGCGCGCCGCGTCGGCGTCCAGGTACGCCTTGACCCACCGGACGCGCAGCATGCCACTGCAGCAATGCGGGGCGATAGCTTCCCAGAGGTCTGCATGCGCCCACTCGGCCAGGAAAGCGCCCCCCCCGGATGGCCGCGACCCCGCGGCTGACGAACCAGGAGTCCGTGATCACCTCCATGCAGCCGCCCGCCAGTTGCAGCTGCAACGCCTGCACGCACGCCCAGACCTCGGCACGCTGCGCCGTGCACAGGGCCACCGCGGTCCACGCGGCCCGCGGTGCCGTCGTCGGACCCCCCAGCCGGCTCTGGCGAGGAGGGGGTTTCCGGGGTGCACGCAGGAACCGTCCGTCCACGCGCGCGGCTAGGTCGGCCGCGCTGCCTGTGGGCCCATTTGCGGGTCCTGCAGGCTTCCTCCACGAGGGCGGCCAGGCGGGGGCTCTGGTGCAGAACGCCAGTGCACGCTGTCTCTGGCGGCAGGCAGGCGCGGGCGGCCTGGCGGGTGAAGCTCTCCGGCTGGAGCGCGGCTTGGCGATTTGGCGTCCATCGCGGGCATGCCCACATGCGGCGTCAGAGGTCCTCCACGGGCGCCCTGCAGTGAGGGCACGCGGCAGGGCGCCCCCACTTCGCGGCCACGGATTCGGTGGTCACGTTGCCCGCGAGCACCGTATACGCAGAGCTCCGGCGGCGTCCGCCGCCAGCGCGCTGCTTTTCGAGAGCCGCCTCGTGGCCCATCGGTCGACGCCCACGTCGACTGCCGGAAGTCTGCTCGCCTGCCCGCAAGCCGCCAGGCCTCTCGCTGTGTGGCCGGCAGCGGCTTCAGAGCGGGGCTCCGGGGCGCCAGTCTCCCAGCGCGTCCGGCACGCCAGTCCAACATTCGATGTCGGAGCCCAGCTGCAGTTCAGCCAGGCTCTTCAGCGCGGCCGCGACTGGACTGGAGCCGCGCGCCGCGGCGAGGGCCCCCGCGGTCTGCCTCCACACTTCGGCGGAAAAACTGCCACGGCGGAGAGACCTCGCAGCCTGCCGCAGTGGCGCGCTCGTCGCCACCGCCGCTGGGTCCAGGCGCCAGGACGGGGCGAGGGCTCCGAGAACGATGTCGGCGGCGGCGCACAGGCCTCCGCAGGAGACCGCCCAGCGCGCAGCCGCCGAACTCCTCGGCAGGCTGCCAGCCGCAGGCCGCTCCGTACAGCCCAGCCCCCGTGCCCGCCGCCGCTCCCAGCAAGCAGCGCTGGCCGAAACCGAGTGGCAAGCGCCCCAACCGCCCGCACCGGCTCTGCGCGCGGCGCAGCCGCGCGGCCGAGACCGCGCAACGGCGGCCGCTGCCAGCGGCGCCTCAGCGACACCCAAGTCGCAGATGTCCAGCCTTGCTTGGATGCCGGGCAGATGCGCGGCGAGCCAATGCCGCAAGGCTTGGGTGCCAGCGAATTGGCGGCTTTCGCGGTGATTGAGCTGCCAATCCATCGCCTGCTCGAAGGCTTCCGTGACGCGCAACGCCGCCCGCATCTCCTCGGCCGCCTCGCCGCCGAAGCTGACCGTGACCCGTTCCCACGCCGTGAAGTCGTCGACGTAGACCTGACAGCGGAGATTGTCGCTGATCGCGCCAGAGCGCCGCACCCACGGGAACGTGAGTACGGCCAGGATGAGCACTGCCTTCGGGCAGCCCGGCAGCAAGCCGCGCGTCGGCACCCACGGGTGATGCATCAGCCGAGCGCCTGGGCCACCCAGGCCCTTCGTCGCGCCGTGTAGTGCTCATCGCAGGCTTGATGGCCCAAGCAGGAACGCCGGCGCGCTCGAGCGCACTCGGGAGTGAGCGGAGGTCGACAGTGCCGTACGGTTTCGACCAGCCCGGCACTTGCCCAGCGATCCCTTCGGACAGCGCGTCCGCCGCCTCGGGCTCCATAGCGACCTCCCAGGCCTGCTCGGTGCCGTACCGCCACTCGCTGCCCGCCCACGTCGCGCGCCACTCCGCGAGCAGGCGGGCCCGCATGCCGCCCAGAGGCGGTACAGGACCGGCATCGGCCAAATCGTCCAGTGCTCCAATGGCCCGTCCCCCCGGCTTCGGCAGCAGCAGCCCCTCAGGCTCCCTTGTCCGTTCGACCACTCCGAGTGGGTCCGCGATCCAGGCGCGCAGTTCCACGAGCAACAGCCGCAGTTTGCCGACCGTCCATGCCTCCAGCCCCGCTGTCTTGCGCCCGGGCATGTGCTGGAGCAGCCAGCCGGCCGATCCCGCGGTCGAGGGCGCCTGGTCGGGGAAAGGCGGCACATCGTCGAGCTCATGCCGCCAGTACCCGGCCACTGGCGGAACGGGCTCCCGCTGCCAGGCCGCCATCCGCGCGCCCTCGTATGCAGCAGCGCAAGCGGGCCGCGGGCCCCCCCACCCCCGCAGGGCGAGCAACCTCAACGGCTGCCAGGGGCGCTAGCTGCGGCTGTCGAGCCTTCTGCCG